TTACATTTATTCAGTTATATATATAGTTATAGCTCATAAATACCTAGAAAAACACACATTCTGACTATGAGTGGGGTCGCCTCTTCACAGATCTGACCTGTAACTTGGTCTCCGTGAAGACACAACAGTTTAAGATCTCCATGGAGTAAAGCATTAGACGAACCCTCCACCAGACAAGTTACACAATGCACCTTTAAAAGCAGAGCGATATAAAAAAAAAGGTTTGCAAATATGAATACTAAACCTGCAGAGCTAGTTATGAGTTTGATTCCTTCCTTAGGCTGCAGAGCACACACCGGTCTCACTGATCCCCTGGAGCTTTTGTTTTGTTTGTTCTACATGTATCATTAGCTGCAGAAAGAGAGGAAGTACATGTATTAGGTTCATCAAAACACAGCTATGGTTTATTTCACCAACTCAACCACGGATTTCTAGAGCTTTAGGTCTTTAGTCCATTGATCGGTTGATGAAGTCTTAGCTGACCAAAATTTATATTGGTCAACTAATAATTTTACTTCAATTATTTAAATTTTTATGGGAGAAGTGAGTGAATAAGCTGAAGATACGGTATTTTTTTTACAGATGTACCAATATCGATACTGGTGTTGAATATCGGTGCCAGTACTGAAAAACTTTAGTGGATCGGGTATCGGTTCCATGTGTAACTTTTCTGGAAAGGGTCTGCATTAAAGGGACAGTCTGGAATTTTGGACATAGGAGCTCATTTCTATGGTCATGAGGTCTGGGTAATGACCGAACGGACGAGATCGCGGATACAAGCGCTTGAAATGAGTTTCCTCCGCAGGGTGGCTGGGCGCTCCCTTAGAGATAGGGTGAGGAGCTCAGTCACACGGGAGCAGCTCGGAGTAGAGCCGCTGCTCCTCCACGTCGAGAGGAGCCAGTTGAGGCTCGGGCATCTGTTCCGGGTGCCTCCTGGGCGCCTCCCTCAGGAGGTGTTCCGGGCATGTCCCACCGGGAGGAGGCCCCAGGGAAGACCCAGGACACGCTGGATTGATTATGTCTCTCAGCTGGCCTGGGAACGCCTCGGGGTCCCCCCGGAGGAGCTGGAGGACGTGTCTGGGGTGAAGGAAGTCTGAGAGTCCCTGCTTAGGCTGCTGCCCCTGCGACCCGGCCCCGGATAAGCGGACGAAAATGGATGGATGGATGGATGGAGCTCATTTTCTAGTGAGCCAGAGTGTTGGAGACGTGTGGAGACACTTTTTGAAATATTCCATCCAGTCCTTGTATTTGCAGAGGTCACTGGTGCTAGGCTAGTGCATGTCAATGGCCATAGTTATCCTGCCACTAAAAACAGTCTTTCCCACTCCACAAAACACTCGATGCAAATTTATTATTACACCAGACTGTCCATGTGAATGTCTGTGTCGATAGATTGATGTTTGAAATAAAACTATCCTTGCATCGCATGAATCGTCGCATGTTGAGGGACTATTTTCTCATATATCAGTCTGCCGCTGCCAAGTTTTCCATCAGGAAGAACAACTCAACGCTCCTGCTCAGAGAGAAATCCTTTAAATGCAAGGTTAATTTTACTTCTAAAATTATTCTGTCAACACAGACATTTACATCAACAGTCTGGTGTAATAATAGATTTGTTTCGGGTGTTTTGTGGAGTGGGTAAGACTGTTTTTAGTAGCAGGATAACTATGGCCATTGACATGCACTAGCCTAGCACCAGTGACCTCTGCAAATACAAGGACTGGATGGAAGATTTAAAAAAGTGTCTCCACACGTCTCCAACACTCTGACTCACTAGAAAACTGTCCCTTTAAACTAATCTGTCTTGCATTTATTTAACTACGGGTGTTACATTAAAAAAACAAAAAACATATATTCTTACTTTTGAGTGGGGTCACCTCTTCATAAATCTAACTTCTCCATGGAGATTCATAAGTTTATGGCACATCTCTGAGGAGACAAGACCCTCCACCAGACAAGTTACACAATGCACCTTTAAACTGTTGTGGTTGGGCCTTTAATTTGACTTAATGAGACTATTTACAGGCTGATTTTGGCCTAGAATGTCTCATAAGGTTTTACCTTTTATTCATACGATGTTCAGTGGTTAATGGAAGCATAAATAACAGTTACATAACACTAGTGGATCTCTTGTATAATAACTTAACCGTGTTTTAAGGAAATACATTTTCTGTCGCTCCTGGTATCAGTGAATATCGGGTTTCGGCAGATACTTAAATTTAACGTACTGAGTGATCGTTATCGGAACTGAAAAATCTGGATCAGTGCATCTCAGATTTTTTTGTAATTACGTAAAAATGAAGATCACCTTGTGTTTCAGTTTGCAAGTTCAATCTTTCTTTATATAAATACATGGTTTCCTAGTACTTTTTTTACATTGTTTTTGAATGAACTCCCCCTGCAGGTGTAATATTTTGCCACGCCCCGTTTTTAGTCAACTAATCAATGCAGGACATGTCTTAAAGGTTGTATGGAGGATTTTTTTTTTTAGTTTCAAATTGTCAATGAAAGTTTAAAATACCACTACAGCGATGCAGCAGCCTTGTAATTATGATGACCAAAAAAAAAAAAAGCATGAAAATCTATCAACTGTGGACGTAGTGAGGCCAGATAAACTTCAGCCAATGAATAACGAGGCTACCCTATTTTTTATTGGCTGTTAGGTCGTCAATCAAACTCCCTACATTTCTAGTGTAACTGACTTGCGGCGTGCAGGGATTACGTGGTTTATGCAGCGGTTCTTAGAGGCTTTTTCAAACTGTAGCTTCCTCGCAATTCGCACAAAGTTTGTTGCGATGGTGGACGAGAATCCACGACCAGTTCGCGCAAAAGAAAGTCAGTTTTTGAGGTCGCTGAAAGAAGAAGAGAGGAGGAAAAGGAGCGAAGACAAACTGAGGTGATTCTTGGAGATTCCTTCCAGCGATGGCGCAACTGAAGCAGACGAAGTGTCTAAAAACTGACACGTCGGTCGCTGAATTATTTCTAGACAGGTCACTCCAACAGTAATTCTACAAGTGTGATTTCTGGAGTAAGGAGGCGGGAGGAGGTGTTTCTACTTAGGGAGCTGTGGAGGAGGGAGGTGGTGTCACGCATGCACAACATTTGAAAAAGGACTGTCGCTGTATTTCTCTTCCCTTAAAAAATCCTCCATACAACCTTTAAGTTGTCCGCTTCTTTCGTTGCCCTACTGATTTCAAAGTGAGCCTGGGTCAGTCTATGCAGTGTCATACATCAGTTAGAGAGCCATTTTGTTTGTGCATAATTGCCAGTGACTCGTCTCTTCCGCTCTCAAAGGGAGACTATTAAGATCGCAATTAACATTTCTTGTGCTTGGATCGATGCAGGGTTTAACAGCAGCCAAGTCGTGAGCACAAACAATGGACTCGGGCGTCAGCACTTCTCGTGGCATTCTTAGTCTTGAAATTCTGAAACTTAATTCTAGACAAAGATGAATATGTTTACCCAACAGAGCCAAATGAAAAAGTAAAACAAAAAGTGTTCTTCAATGGTCGTTTGTATTGTTTCTTTTTCAGTACAGAATCTATGAATAACCCAGCCACCATCACACACACATCAGTCACAAAGGGCACAGTGTTTTGCCCAAGGACACAAAAGTATCTGACAGTGGTACAGTGGGAGTTTGGTGGCAGAGCGTTCATCCAACAAGTTCAGCCCGCACTGACCAAGTTCTGTCACTGTGCCTTTGGGCAAGACGCCTTTAACAATACTTTCCCTAGAATGACACTGGACTCAGACTGTGCTTGGTGTAGCTCTGATACGGTGGCTTCAAGTATTTCAAATAACTAAAAGTAACGAGAGAAGTTCAGATCGTACACCGTGCAGTGCAGTGGTGTCGTGATAATCCGTGTATTATTCGTTCATTCGTTTTTCAATATAAAACCAAAAATAAGAAAATGAAAAAAAAAAAACTGTTTTCTTCATTGTTTGTCTCCAAAACCAAAATGAAAAAACGGATAACGATTTTTATTTTTTTATTTTTTTCGATTTTGTGTTTAAATGAATAATGGAAAAAACGGACAACAGCCATTTCCCGTTTCCGTGACTTAAACTGCGATGCGGGAATATTGCTCCTCATACGGACTGAACCAGGACTGAACCAAGACTAAACCAGGACTAAACCATTTTCAGTCCTGGTCTGGTCCTGGTCTTAGTCCCGGTCTGGTCCCGGTCTCAGTTCCAGTCTCAATCAAGGTCTGGTCTGGTCCCAGCCTTAGTCCCGGTCTCAGTCCCAGTCTCAGTCCTGATCCTGGTCCCGGCCTGGTCCCGGGCTCACTCCCGGTCTGGTTCTGATCAAAGTCTTGGTCTCAGTCCTGGTCTCGTTCTGGTCTGGTCCCGGACCTGGTTCAGTCCTGGTCCCAGCATTGCAATTTAAGTCACAGAAATGGGAAATGGTCATTATCCTTTTTTTTTTTTTTTTCATTTAAAAACTAAATCAAAAACTGAAAAAACTAATCATTATCCATTTTCTTTTCATTTTGGTTTTGGAGACAAATAATGAAGAAACTAGTTTTTTTTTTTTTTTTTTCATATTGAAGAATGAATGATACATGAATTCATGATGCTCCAGATTTTTTTCCATTGTGAGTCTGTTCTGGACAGAGCCCACTGCAAACCTTTTCCCTTAATAAATGAATATTTAATTGGGGTCTTGGGTTTGCAGCTTTCTACGGTGACCACAATACCACAGCTGAGAACCAAAACTGATCTGATGAGGCAGATTGGGCTTGCCTCTCGATAGATCTGACCAGTAACATGGACTGGTGGTGTCCTCTGCTTGTCTTCATGGAGATAGATGAAAGTTGAATGCCGTACTGTGGAGTATTCCAGGCAAAGCAGTAACATCTCCATGGAGACAAATAGGTTTCTCCACCTGAAAGAAGTCTCACCTGGTTGAATTTCTTTTCTTTTTTTTTTTTTTTTTCAAATGTCCTGTTTGTATTATCGTGTATTTAATTTGTATATCTCCTCTTTTTCCACAGACACAACTCCTTCAAGAGACACCTGCCCCGACAGATGCAGGTGGGCAGTCTGGACCTGGGCAATGACTACGAAGTGAAAGACGACAAACCCACGGGACTCGGACGCATCCAGCCCGAACTCTACCAGCAGAAGGCGCAAGAATCCGAAGACTCCTCCAAGAACTCCAACAAAAACTGCGGCCGCATCAACTTCTCCCTCAAGTACGACTACGAGAACGAGTCCTTGATCGTCAACATTCTGCGCGCCGTGGACCTCCCGGCTAAAGACCTGTGCGGCACCTCCGATCCTTACGTCAAAGTCTACCTGCTCCCGGATCGCAAGAAGTTCCAGACAAGAGTTCATCGGAAAATGCTGAATCCGACGTTTAATGAAAGCTTCCAGTTCCCCGTGCCTTACGACGAGCTGCCCACGAGGAAGCTGCACATGAGCGTTTTTGATTTCGATCGGTTTTCCAGGCATGACATGATCGGAGAGGTGGAGCTGGAAAACCTTTTCGAGATGTCTGATCTGTCCCGGGAGACGAATATATGGAGGGACATCCAATACGCCACCAGTGTAAGTAGTGCTGTGGGATTGTGGGATTGATGTGTCTGTAGCTCGTGTGTGATAAGAGTCAAGTGTTTTTCTGCTTGTATGTGATGAACAGATGAACCTATCTTTTGAATGGTCCTCAAAATGGCGCCTATAATCGGAAACTGAATACAAATGTTTTTAAATATAATAACACAGAAGGTGGTATATATGAGAAAGTGTACATTTTTGTGTTGAAAATTTGAATTTCAATACAAGGCTAGCCTATTCAAACTGTTCAAAGCCAAAATGCATATTTTTGGGTTTTTTTTTTACACTATTGCCCTATGTCTACGGGTGTGCAAAAATATCAAATTATCCATATATCGTATCATTTAATGTGATGATACAATATTGATATCATGGCTGTTGTATCAATATATTGCCAAAAGTATTTTTTGGTATATTTTACAAAATAATTTTGATACATCGCTACAGTTTTGTTGCTTGTTTAAAGAAAGGAAACTCGTTTATTCAAGACATTTGACTAAACATTTTTTTATTTATTAAATTTGATTAAAATGTTTGTGTTTTATATGAACTTTGCACAAGAAGTGGTTTAACAAAGACTTTTAGTATCACAGCCATGATTTAGCCATTATTTTATATTGAACCATATCAAATTGATTTGATATGTATCTTGCATCGGCAACTTCTTACCCAGCCCTAACTATGTCATATTTCTTTCTATTATTTCACAACAGCTGGTCAAAATGCTGTGAAAATGTCAGGTGAGATGTGGAACTTTTCAGGTGTGAGATCCACCACCAGCCACCTGCCTGCCTCCATAGATATTTTACCAGTGTTAAAAGTATCCATGCAGTTATTATTGGCACGTTATTGCTAAAAACGTTTATCTCTTGAATCTTGGTCGGCTGTCTGCAGCCGCTGTCTAATCTGTAGCTTTGGACTGCTGGCATTATGGAACTCAAGAGTGACCGCCCACCCCCCGTTCTGGAAGTAAATTCCCCATTCATTTTTCTCAGAGATTTTCAGAAAAAAAAAAAAAAAAAAATCATGGTTTGAAAACTTGCTCAGGGCTAATCAGCAATATGCAGAGGTGTAGTGGGGATTTTTTAAGTGGAGGTAAGCAATTTGTGACGCCGGTTTCGCCTGCGGTCACCCAAGTCTACACGGGCGCACCTGTCCCAATACTCAGTCCTGGTTCAGTTCTGGTTTAGCCCTGGTTTACCTGGTTTAGACCTGGTTTAGACCTGGTTTAGACCTGGTTTAGCCCTGGTTTAGTCCTATTTTAGTCTTGGTTCAGTCCTGGTTTAGTCCTGGTTCAGTCCTGGTTCAGTATTGGTTCAGTGTTGGTTTAGGCTTGGTTTAGACCTTGTTTATTTCTATTTTAGTCCTGGTTCAGTTCTGGTTCACTCTTGGTTTAGGCTTGGTTCAGCTCCTGGTTTAGTCCTGGTTCAGTCCTGGTTCAGTCCTGGTTTAGGCTTGGTTCAGTCCTGGTTCAGTCCTGGTTTAGGCTTGGTTCAGTCCTGGTTCAGTATTGGTTCAGTGTTGGTTTAGGCTTGGTTTAGACCTGGTTTATTTCTATTTTAGTCCTGGTTCAGTCCTGGTTCACTCTTGGTTTAGGCTTGGTTCAGCTCTGGTTTAGTCCGGGTTCAGTCCTAGTCCCTCATGTGTCAGGTCTCTCTAGGACAGTACTGCAGATATCATGAGCCTATGCACTTTGTTTTCACCAATGCCAGTAGCTTCAGTTTGACATTTAAGTTGTAGCTATTTTATCTTTGTTAATTTTTTATATCTCACGTCGGGAGAAGTGGGTGGACAGTGAAAAACTGTGTACCACCCCCACTACACCCTTGGCTATATGGTTACTAATGACCTCAAGACCTATAATTTGTTATGTTTTAAATGTGCTTTTTTGGATGTAAAACAGCTCTTAATATTTGATTTTTTCTTGTCTGTGGGAAAAAATAATGGAAACTTTACTTTAATAGAGATAGAGCTAAGAGATAAGTTTAATGCCGTGCTGTGGAACATTCTAGGCAAAGCATTAACATCTCCATAGAGAAAGCAGATGGCAAACTTTCTATCAGAAAAGTTACAGAATTCAAATTTAAATAATACATTCTATTGCAGTAGACAGTGTTGGGAAGGTGACTTTTAAAATGTATTCCCCTACAGATTACAGATTACATACCCCAAAATGTAGTTTGTAACATAATCCATTAGTCCATCCATAAGTGAGTAATGTAATCTGAATACTTTGGATTATTTGATATTGTCATGCTTTTTAAAACTACATAAATGTACCAACCACATCCTGAAAATTCATGTTTGTTCTCTTCAAATTGTCTGTTGAGCCCAAGTCTCCATGAACAGACTTTTGTTTTACTGTAGAGAAGCAAAGACCAAAAATCTTAACATAAGAAGTTTTGTCTGTTAAAAGAAAATAAAAAGTCCAGTTTTTACTTAACCAGATTAAAAATATTATTGATAGAGAAATGATTTTTATATGAGAAATTTATATGAGTATGTCCACCTACTGTTAGGTCTCATACTGTTTAGACCTGGTTTAGTCCTGGTTTAGACCTGGTTTAGCCCTGGTTTAGTCCTATTTTAGTCTTGGTTCAGTCCTGGTTTAGTCCTGGTTCAGTCCTGGTTCAGTCCTGGTTCAGTGTTGGTTTAGGCTTGGTTTAGACCTTGTTTATTTCTATTTTAGTCCTGGTTCAGTTCTGGTTCACTCTTGGTTTAGGCTTGGTTCAGCTCTGGTTTAGTCCTGGTTCAGTCCTGGTTCAGTCCTGGTTTAGGCTTGGTTCAGTCCTGGTTCAGTATTGGTTCAGTGTTGGTTTAGGCTTGGTTTAGACCTGGTTTATTTCTATTTTAGTCCTGGTTCAGTCCTGGTTCACTCTTGGTTTAGGCTTGGTTCAGCTCTGGGTTAGTCCGGGTTCAGTCCTAGTCCCTCATGTGTCAGGTCTCTCTAGGACAGTACTGCAGATATCATGAGCCTATGCACTTGTTTTCACCAATGCCAGTAGCTTCGGTTTGACATTTAAGTTGTAGCTATTTTATCTTTGTTAATTTTTTATATCTCACGTCGGGAGAAGTGGGTGGACAGTGAAAAACTGTGTACCACCCCCACTACACCCTTGGCTATATGGTTACTAATGGCCTCAAGACCTATAATTTGTTATGTTTTAAATGTGCTTTTTTGGATGTAAAACAGCTCTTAATATTTGATTTTTTCTTGTCTGTGGGAAAAAATAATGGAAACTTTACTTTAATAGAGATAGAGCTAAGAGATAAGTTTAATGCCGTGCTGTGGAACATTCTAGGCAAAGCATTAACATCTCCATAGAGAAAGCAGATGGCAAACTTTCTATCAGAAAAGTTACAGAATTCAAATTTAAATAATACATTCTATTGCAGTAGACAGTGTTGGGAAGGTGACTTTTAAAATGTATTCCCCTACAGATTACAGATTACATACCCCAAAATGTAGTTTGTAACATAATCCATTAGTCCATCCATAAGTGAGTAATGTAATCTGAATACTTTGGATTACTTGATATTGTCATGCTTTTTAAAACTACATGAATGTACCAACCACATCCTGAAAATTCATGTTTGTTCTCTTCAAATTGTCTGTTGAGCCCAAGTCTCCATGAACAGACTTTTGTTTACTGTAGAGAAGCAAAGACGAGGAAATCTGAACATAAGAAGTTTTGTCTGTTAAAAGAAAATAAAAAGTCCAGTTTTTACTTAACCAGATTAAAAATATTATTGATAGAGAAATGATTTTTATATGAGAAATTTATATGAGTATGTCCACCTACTGTTAGGTCTCATACTGTTTAGACCTGGTTTTACTCCTAGTTTAGTTCTGGTTTAGACCTTGTTTTAATCCAAGTTTAGACCTGGTTTAGTCCTGGTTTAGTCCTGGTTTAGACCTGGTTTAGACCTGGTTTAGTCCTGGTTTAGTTCTGGTTTAGTCCTGGTTTAGTCCTGGTTTAAACCTGGTTTAGTCCTGGTTTAGTCCTGGTTTAGTTCTGGTTTAGTCCTGGTTTACTCCTGGTTTAGACCTGGTTTAGTCCTGGTTTAGTTTCTGGTTTAGTCCTGGTTTACTCCTGGTTTAGACCTGGTTTAGTTCTGGTTTAGTCCTGGTTTAGACCTGGTTTAGTCCTGGTTTAGTCCTGATTTAGACCTGGTTTAGACCTGGTTTAGACCTTGTTTAGACCTTGTTTTAATCCAAGTTTAGACCTGGTTTAGACCTAGTTTTAGTCCTAGTTTAGTGTTGGTTTAGTTCTGATTTAGTCCTGGTTTAGTCCTGGTTTAGTTCTGGTTTAGTCCTGGTTTAGTCCTGGTTTAGTCCTGATTTAGCCCAAAATGTGAAAACAGGAACATACCGCCATGTAATCCATTTACTTCAACAAAGTAACTGTAATCCAATTACCACTCAATGAAACAGTAACTGTAACTGAATACAGTTACTCATAATTTGTACTCTGATTACTTAACGCCGGTACATGTAATCTGTTACTCCCCAACACTGGCAGTAGATTATGAAAGTCTTTTACATTCGTGATCATTTCTAATTCATTTACCCCAAACAGTAGACTCCCAATAAACTCTTGACCTCCCCCCATCTCTAATGAAGACCACACTATGGGATGCTGTACTGTCGCCGGAGAGTATGGCATCGATCGCGTCCGTCTCCTCTGTGACATGACTGAAGATGGTTCTATAGAAATGCTTATATCTCGTATCACAGCTATTGAACTGGAGCCCACATGAACAGGAAATCTATACTCCAGTTACATATTCAACCAGGATATTGACGTTTGGGTCCAGAGCACGATTGGCGTCATCCGTTTCTCCGGTGAATGCATTTTTATTACGATCATTCTGTATTTATTATTAACGTCGTAATTAAAGCTGTGGTAAAAATCCTTGGAAATGCAGTACTTTTCAATATAACATACTAAATAATGTATAAAGCAATTGTGTTTTTATTGTAAATACGAATA